AGGACTGTGGCTGCAGCAGTCCTGAAAGGGTAGAGAATCATCCACCTCCCCGGACAAACCTCAGCCTGGAGCTGCCCCTTGGCTGGGCGGGAAGGGGGTGAGATGGGGAGCTACCTACTCTCCCTCACTGTGTCTCCCGTCTCAGCTGGGTGGGTGCCCCCACTGTGGTGCCCGCTCTGAGCTCTTCCTGATTGCTCCTTCTATCCCAGCGCCTCTCCCCAGCTCTCATGGGTCTGTCCCTCCTGCCACCTCCCTGCACACCTCCAGGGGGCGCCGATCACCATATAGAATATGTGCGCCCCTGGCAATAAGACGCCAGCACCCTGAGCCTCCTCTCCATTCGAGGGGGGATGCTAGTGTCCCTGTGCCCCAGCACACTCAGGGCTGGCAGAAGTCACTTGGTGCCCTCCTTGTGCTAGCATCCCTCCGCCTCCCCAACCAGACTCCTGCCCCCTAGCCATAGCTCCTCGGACCCACCCGTTTTTCCTGTGGGCCATTAAGGGAGGCATGTTTGGAGAGTCTCTGGGCCAGCAGGTGTTCGGGACTGAGAGGTTAACTCTGGCTGCACTGACTAGTGGTCCGAAAACTCGATGCTGCCTCAGCTAGTGCCCCGAAGCAGGCCCCTGCCCTCGGCCCTTGGCCCAGGGACTTCCAAGCCTAGCTCCGGCCCTAAGATGGGGGCTGGGGACCGGTAGAATGATAGACTCCAGGGAGCTTGTCTTTTGCTGAACTCTTCCTGAGACCACTCCTTCCAGAAGCACGACAGGATTGGGCCCCTCCTCCTCCCTCTACCCCCTAATGTCCCACCAACCTAGAGGTCCAGCCTATCCTGAAGGGCACTTAATCTGTTTCCCAAACAGCAGGCCTGCGCCCAGGCTGTGGGTGCCATGGGGACTGCAGCCACGGTGGCCAGGGTGAACATGCAGTACGCGCTTGGGGCCACAGCACCTCCTGTGTCAGGCTGCCAGACCCCTCCCCCCACAACCAGGCAACACCTCCTCAGCTGCTGTTCACCCCTCCAAGAAGAGAAACCCAGTGGTCCTCTGATGTTCTCAGGCTGTTAGGGTGCCTGGCCATTCCCCACAACAGCCTGGAGGGAAATGTGTAGCTCTCCAGGGTGGAGGATGGGCTGGGGGGCACCACATGGCTTTCCAAGAGCCCTGAGTCACACATGCTCCCCAACCAGAGAAGGTGGTCAGTCAGATAAAACTCATGATCCAGGAACTACACCCCCCATCTGCATGTCTGTGCTTTGGCCTGGGCAGCCCCCACATACTCCCTACATGCCAGGAGGGGCTGAGGCGACAGACGTCTTTCAGGAAGGTGCACTTCCGCCCCACCTATCCCAAGGCCCTTTCTATTTTGCAGCTACTCAGCAATCTCCTTAGAACCAAAACTGCTTATGCTGCCCAGGTACCTCCTGGGACTTGGAGGTTTCTGTAATTTAGACCCAGCGATGCCCTGGGCACGGACACCCGACGGCGCGCCCCTGGAGGGGTGGTTGCTCGCTTTATGGAAAAGGGCAGAGGGACTTCTCAGCTGTGCAGGCGGGAGGATTCCTCGTGAAGTATACCGTCTCCCCTGGCTCCGGAATAGGCTTCTCATTAGAAAGCTGGTTGATAGGAAACTTTGCAAGAACTGTGGTATTTTGTTCTGGCCACAGGTTTGAATAGAGTATGTGAGGCCAAGGGGTTAAGGGAGGGGAGAAGCAACCAGCCACCTTGTCGCCAAAGAACACCCGGTGGATTGCAAAAGTACACAGGCCACCAGGCACTGCTTCAAAGAGAGGGCAAAGAGGGGGCAAAGAGGGGCTCAGAAAGTCCCCAGAGTGGAAAGGCAAGTTGATGGCTGAAGCAAGTGGGGAGGTGGCCCAGCGCAGGCTGGATGGACGCAGGTTCCGAGGCCCGCGAGGACCCGGTCAGGCTGGAGGGGCGGGGAGCGGCTTGGGAGGGAAGGGGCTCCATGCCTGCTGGATGGCGCGACCTGGGCATCCACGCAAGCCGAGAAGGGGAATTCCTGCCAAGTCAGGGAGTGAGCCATTGGCAGAGACGCGTCTGTGGCTGTCGTCAGGAGGGGTGATCTCAGCTGGCTGGCCCCACCTGGCTGGGGCTTACCCAGCTGGTGAGTGGAAGAGCAGGGAGCCAGGTGGGGAGGGGCTGCTGGGCTGGGGAGCAGCAAGGTCGCTGGGAAGGGCAGCGGCGCTGACCTGGAACCACAGAGCCAGGAAGCTCATTTGGGCAACGGTGGCTCCCTCAGGCGCAAGATTTTCATCAAGAGGGATGGGGCTTTCCTGGAGCTGTGCTTAGTGCCACATGGCTGGAAAGGGGAAGAACTTACGGGATTCCCACCAGGTTACTGGCAGGCCCAGGGCCAGAGCCCCTGAGCTGGTTAGGCATCAAGACCTCTCTCCCTGCCCTCCCCACCAGGAAGACCTCTCCTCTGGCTCTCCTTGGCCTTGAGGCATCAGCCTTGACTTAAACCACACACACTCTCATGGAAGCCACCTACCATTTCTCCTCAGCTGCCTCTGGCCTGAGAACTGTCAGACTTTCTCCTGAGAGCTGGGCGGGGAAAACCGAAATGGGGATAAAGCGTGAGCTGAAGGCAAATAACACTGAAGCACCGGTTGCTGCCATAGGCCTGGGTTATTTTATTTAATCCACACCACAGCCTGTGAGGGAGACATGTATCATCCCTAATTTAAAAATAAAGAAAGTGGGCCCCCCGGGTGGCGCAGCGGGTTGAGCACAGCACTGTGAGGCTGTCCGCAGCCTCTGCAGCGCGGGTTCGATCCCAGCCAGCCAGGGAGATACCCACATGGAGCGGCAGACCTCTCCTGTCTCGCCTGCTGCTCCCCTCAGCAGTGCTTTTGGTCCGTCTACCTGTTCTGCTCTCCGTTCTGTCTCTGGTGAATCCTCTCACCCCTCCTGCGCCTCTGGCCTGTACCCTAGCTCTTGTATAAATTAAAAAAAAAATCTTTTTAAAAAATAAATAAAAATAAGGAAAGAGAGGCTTGGAACCTTTAAGTGACTTGTTCAAAGACACACAGCTGGTAAACAGTGCCATCGGAATATGGACCCAGGTCTGATATTAGAGACCACTGAACTCTTAGCAAAATAGGCACATGTGTGCATGCGTGCATATGTGTGTGTGCATTCGTGAGCTTCAAGGTCAAGGTAAAGGAGGTTTAGGGGCATCTGGGGCCTACCACAATTTTGAGACGGGAGTCTCACTGACAAGAGGCCAGCAGAGTGTCTCCAGGATCCCGAATCTCCTGGAGAAAGCATATCCACTTTCTTTTAAAAAAAGATTTATTTATGCATACAAGAGCTGGGGTACAGGCCAGAGGTGTGGGGGGAGAGAGGATTCACCAGAGACAGAGTGGGGAACAGGACAGGCAGGCAGACTGAAATACACTGCTGAGGGGAGCAGCGGGCGAGACAGGAGAGGTCTGCTGCGCCATGTGGGTTGCTCCCTGGCCGGCCAGGGGTGGAACTTGTGCTGCAGAGGCTGTGGACAGCTTCATAGGTTGCGTCTTAACCCCTTGGGCCACCAGGGAGGCCCGGCATATCCACTTATAAAAGACGAAAGTGGAAATTTGCTCTTGGCGCATGTTTAGGGGCTGGTCACAGGTTGCCAAGAGGTCTCTAGGGCCCGCGTCCCAGTCGAGTCACTAGGTCTTTCCCAGGGTATTGAGGATGTGCAGCCATCTTCACCGCCATCTTCCATCGTCACTCTTTTCCCCCCGTCCTGGGTCAGATACCATCCTTTTCCAGGACTTGGGCAGCAGGCTGAACAGGACCCTGAAACTCAGGGTCCTCCTTCCCTGGGGTCCCTTCTGCTTTGCTGCTTTCTGCCAAGGAGATGCCAGGGCTGAGTCCTGGCTGCACCCCTTCACCATACCAGCAGAGCCATGAGGAGGGACAGTTGCCGACAGAGTCCCTTCTAAGCCTCCTAGCTGTGGGGCCAGGTGGGGCTGGGGGCGGGAGAAATGGCACGGCCCAGGCAGATCAGAGGAGCTGGTAATGGGGAGATAGAATGGGAGACTGGGGTTCAACCAGAGCATGTGCTTTCCCCGGCTCTGCAACTCTGCCTCCGCACCTGCCGCACCGGCGCCTCTCCCCGCCACCAGCCCTGCCCTGGGCTCACGGTCTCCTGGCCCCCACCACCCGCAGCCCCCTAGACGGGCCTTCCCTGTGAAGCCCCCCGCCCCCACTCGCCAGTCGCCCCACAGCCCAAGGTCACCGGGCCGGGATCCCGCGGGCGCTGGCCCTATCGTGTACGATTTGTATCCTCTGGGCACCTCCTGTTCTCCCCCGCCGCTCGCTCGGCCAGCCCCGAGCGCAGCGGGCGCCCGGGAACATGTTGCTCCGGGGCTCGCGCCTCGAGGCGTCGACAGCGTGAAGGCCGGCGGCCCCGGGGGGCAGAGCGGCGGGCCCGGGGCGGGGCGGGGCGGCGAGGGGCCGGGGTCGCGCTCCGGGGGGGGCTGGCTGGGCGGCCGCGCGCCGCGCGGGCAGGACCCTGACGGAGAGCCCCACGCCCCGGCCGGCCGGGGGGAGCGGAGTCGGGGGCGCGGCCCGGGCCGGGGCGGGCGCCGCGGGCTGAGAGGGCGGCGGGCCCCGGCGGGCGGGGCGGGGGCGGAGAGGCCGCGCGGCCCCTGGCGTGGCTCCCCCTGCCGTGCTGGCGCCCGCGGCGGGCCAGGGGGCGGAGGGGCGCTGTTTCCACCGCGGCGCCGCGGCCCTCCCCCTCGCCCGCGCCCTCCCCCGGCCCGCCCGCCGTCCCTCCCGTCGGTCCCTCCTCCCTCCGGCTCTTCCCTCCCGCCCGCGCGCCGCCCCAGCCGCCGCCTGCGGCGACGAGCGTCTCGGGCGCCGTTTCCCCTTTCGCTGCTCGCCCGCGCGGTCGCCTCAGCGCGGGTCTCCGCCGCCTCGCGCCCCCCCCCGGGCGCCCCGCCCGAGAGCCCTTTGCTCGGGGGCGCCGCCGTCTCACCTGGCGCGCGCTCGCGCCCTCCAGCTCGCCAGCGGCGGCGCGACGTGTGGGAGAGCCCGCGCCTCGCCCGCCCGGACCAGCCGGCCCCGGCGCCGAGGTGAGTCACGGGCGCGGGGCCGGGGGCCGCCGGGCAGGGAGGGGACGAGGCCGCGCGGAGGGGGAGCGCGGCCCCGCGGGCGCGGGCCGGAGTGGGCGCCGCGCTCCGTCTCCACTTCTCCTTTCGCCGGCGCCGAGGGCCGGGCGGGCGTCCTCAGGGGAGAGGCGGCCGGGCGGGCCGGGCCGGGGCCCCGCGTCTGGGCTCCCGGCAGCGGGGAGGGGACCCCGGCGAGCGAGCTCTCTCGCCTCAGGTACGTCGAAGGCGCGGGTTCGGGGAGGCTGCGGGCGCCTCGGAAAGTTGGCCTGAGGTGGGGATCGCGGGCGCGGGGCTCGGGAGTGGGGGGGGGGCAGGCAAGGGTGGGGGAGCGCGGCGGGTGGGGTCCCGCCCCGGCCTCGGCGCGCCGCGCGTGTGTGAGGGAACTCGGGCTCCGATCGCGGGTGAGCAGCGGAGTCGCCTTCGCGAGTGGAGTTGGGGGTGGGGCGTGAGGTGGGGTCCCACGTTCCCGCGCCGGGGGCAGCCCGGTCCCTGACAGCCCGGGTCCGCGGGACCGATCGTGACACCGGACCCCCAAAAGCTCGCTGCTCGGGAGCGGGAGGTTGGGCGGGACCGTGGCGGCGGGGCTGCTGGGCGGCTCGGAGGGGCGACCCCCAGGGCTTCGGGGGCGCCTGGGTTCTCACACTCGCACAGCCAGCCTCTCTCACACGCGCGCTCACGCGCACATCCCTGGCTTGGCTCACCGGATCGCCGAAGAGCGATCGCGCCCCAATTGGCCGGGGCCACGGTTTCGGTGTGAGCCCGCCGCCCGCCGCCCGCCTTCCCGCGTTGCCGCTGCCGGCTGCGGCCGGCGCCCTCTCAGGCGGTTCCCGCCCGCCTCTCCGCTGCTCTCTCCGCGGCCGGCCACGCCGCGCGGGGTCGCAGGCCCCCGACAGCGCCTTGCTCAGGCGGGGTCCGCTCGGTGGATCCCTGCTCTCTCCACCTCACGCTAGCCCTGCCGCCCTTTCCTGGCCACTTTCTGGCCCTCGGGCCCAGAGCCACCTCCTGACTCCCTGGCACCTCGGCCCAGCCAGGTTCTCCCCGGCCGCCCCCTCCCTCCCCAGCAGCAGCCTGGGGATTTGAGAGCCGTTTGCTTCGTGACCCTCATCCTTCTGCCTGAGATAGAGGCCTGTCAGGTCCTGCAGCTTCTTCTGGTTAATGTTTGACACTTCATGGCGACTAATCATTTTAATTAGCTCTTAAAGTGGGGAGGAACAGTTAACCTTGGACTTCTCGATTTTGGCCTGGTGGGGCCTCAAATGGGAGGAGTGCTGAGGAGGTGGGGAGGCAGGAGCGGAAGTGAGGTCACCACCCTAGGGCCTGAGCCACCGCTGCGGGGCCCCAACAGCTGGTGGGCACGCCCATCAGAGACTCACCCCCTTCAGGCTGACCCCTGGCCTGAGTACCAGGTTGCAGGGGGTTGGAGGGAACAGATCGAGCCACCCCCTTTGGGAGAGACGGGACACTTTGGCAATAAAAATGCCTGGGGAACACGTATGCCTGGTAAGAATGCAAATCCTTCCTCGCTGTTAGTTACACAAGGTTTACCCGTTGGTTATAAAGCGCTTTCTCAACCATTAATTCAGTGGAGCACGAACAGCCTAGCGGGAGCTCTCTTGAGTTCATGAAAATTATCTTGGAGGACTTGGTAACCTGGCCCGTGTGAAGAAGAGGCTGCCTTGCATGTGGTTGTCTCTGGGGTTCCGTTCAACGCCTGAGGTAGATGTCATGGGGGGGACGTGCTGAGCAGGCTCCTCATTGCCACCCTCACCCAGCCTTTAGCTGTGAGTCGAAGGAGTGGCTGTTTGCAACTATGTCTGGCATTCCTCCCACGGCTGCACTGTTTGCTCTGGTGGTTGCTCAGGAGCTGGTGCCCACCCCTGGACAAGCTGGGGGCTCAAAAGCCACCCTCCCCCTACCTAAATGGTGGCACAGTGGCTCCATCTCCTCTGTCTTGAGTCGGGATCTAAATCTGAGGGTGTGTGGTCTGGTTCATGGGCTTGATTGGTAGGATGTGCAGATGCCCCTAGCCTGCAAGAGTCAGGACTTACATGCTGGAGAGGTCCAGCCAGACTTCTCGTGGAAATCCCTGCTCCTAAACTTGGCCTTAGTCCTTGCCACCCCGCAAATTTCTCATTTAACCTCCACTCCCTAGAGTCAGACAGTCTGGGTCTCAATCCCAGCTTTGTTATTTATTAGCTGTGCAATGCTAGTTTTGTGTGTGCCTCAGTTTCCTCATCTGTCAAATGAGAACTTTCTCGTAAGGTTGTGCTGAGGGGCAAATACACAGAAGCGGCTCATTGGAACAGTGCGGGGCTCATTGTATGCGTGAGCCACTCTTGTGATGTTGTCTGATGGAGTGCCTGAAACTTGGATTCAACTTGACAAACATTTGCTGAGAGCCAGTCCCAGTACTAGGCATCAGTGAAGTGGCAGTGAGGGAAATATGGAGGTGAGAACACATCACCTGCCTTCTGGGATCGTGTGTCCCTTCTGCTGTGGGCTGGTGCAGGGGAGGGTGGTAGAGGGACCAGGGAGAATGTCTAGGTTTTACATAACCGTAATTCAAAGCCACTGTGAAGCCCCGAGCCAGTATTCAGAGCTAGGCACCCCAGTTTTGCCAGGGGACCCAAGCTAGGTTCTGGTCTGGAGGCTCCCACCCCGCGAGAGTGACCTGTCCTAGGACTTGGCTGAGAGCGAAGGTTACACCTGGTTCCTGCTTGGGCTACAGGTGGCAAGCACTCAGTGACGTGATTTGTTGGGTTCCAGGATGGCATTACGTTGGGTCGCCCCCAAGCAGCCCCCTAGCCCTGCGAGTGGCAGGGCCTATGCCTGCCATGCCTTCTGCACCTCCTGGTGGTCCCCCACTGAGCTGCAAAGGGCCTTGGGCAGCTTCTCTCCTCAGGCAGGGGCCTGACCTCAACCGGGGCTTGGTTATCACTCCAGGATGTCTAAGCTGCAAAGAGGTTTCTGGCTTTATTGCCAATTTATTCCCTTTGTGGTTCTCGGGCTGAAAACTAGTTCTGCAGGGGAGAAAGAAAACTCATCTGAGGTACCCAGAAGCCCATGGGCACTTTCCTAGGGGTCAGGGGCTTTTCTCATCAACACCAGCCTGCCTGCAAATCTCTGGCCGCTGAGCCTCTCGTGGCCTGTAATAGCGGCCACGCCACTAATGCCCAGTAGCTGGGGCCCCGGCGCTGGTTGCCAAGGAACTGCTGGTCGGGGTGCTTATGAGGGTTCTGACCTCATAGGGGCTGCTGAGTTTCAATTCAACAGACATTTATTAACACCTACTGTGTGCCCAACCTGTGCTAGGCGCTGTGGGGGAGTTGAAAAAAGGAGGTGGTGGGGGAGAGATGACTAAGACACTGAGACAATCAGAGGCGAGGACAGGCAGCCAGCCAGTGGCCAGTCAGGTGCTAATCGTGCTCCTTGGAGCAGGGCACAGAGATGGCCAGGGCACCGAGGTCAGCAGCAGTTGCTGGGCAGAGGGCAGGCTTTGTGAGGGATGTGGGCATCGGCTGGGCCTTGAAGGGGGGTGGGGGTGTTTGGGGGGATTTGGCCGGAGGGGGGAGGTGCAAGGGGGGAGACACTTTTCTCTCTTCCCTGGCCACAGACGGACCTTCGAAGCCTGGGTAATCGTTTGTCAAATGCCTGTCACGTGAAAGACCAGGGAAGCCAGGGTGGGTGGCTCAGGGCAGACCCTCGTGTCCACTTAAGGAGATATGAAATGGCTGACCTGGACCGGGAGCTCCGCGCCTATTGCTGAGACGCAAAAGGTGGCCAGGCTTCTTGCCACCCGCGCTGAGGGGACTTCATTGTGAGCTCCCCTTACTGCCCCGCACCCCGACCACACACGCAAACGGAGTGGTGGGGAAGGCAGCCGGAGGGGAAAGAAGAGGTAGGGCCATCTGAGGGCCGGAGGAACTGAGTCACAGCTGTTCGTGGCAGGCACGGGCTCGTTGGGTTCTGCTTTTCCCCAGGGTTCTGACAAGTCCCCAAAAGCCGAGGTTCGGGTGAAGGACAGAAATGCTCACGCTCTCAACCAGTCAGGAGCCAAGGGGTCTAGAGAGTCCCACGCATTTCTGCCCGGACCCACCCCCCTCCTCACCCCACCTCAGGCAAGGGCAAGAGCGAGGACCAACCATACATTGGTTGTACTGCTTTTGTGTCTCCCCCGACTGGGTGTGGGGGGGGGGCCATGGCCCCTGGGGGGTTTCATTGGATAAAAACACTCTGAGACATGCCTCGCCCCATGCCACATTCCCGCTCCATGGCTTCCCTCCTGCCCTGCGCCCCACCGGCACCTTGCAACGCTGCTGGGATCCATGGGGTGCCCTTTCTCTTATCTTAAGGTGAGTTTCTTGGCAAGGAGACCCCAGCCTGCTCCCAGGAGGGGGCAGGGAAGGCCTGGCAGCCGGGAAGGGAGTTTCATGCAAGAGGGATGGCACGGGACAGTGCCAGACTGACAAGAAGCAAGAGGTTAAAAGCAGCTTGCCCAGGCTGAGCAAACTGCCTGAGGTGTCCACCTTCTTGCGGAACCATTTTCTTGCCCCAGTCTAGGCAGGCACTCCCTGCCTGTTGGCCTCCCTGCCCTTCCAGAAGCTTCCTTTTCTCTTCAGTCTAACCCAGTCTATTGTCCTGAGCATGCGAGAGCACAGGCTCTCTGCATTCGTATCCCAGACTTACCACTCACTGGTTGTGTGACTGTAGGCTCGTCACTTAACTACTCTGGGTCTCAGCAGCTACGTCATGGAGTGAGGATGATCATTACGTAAAGCACTCAGCATGGTGTGCGACACCGGGCCAACACCTAACAGGTGTTAGCAGTTGCTATTATTATTATTCCTGTGGCTGCTGTAGTTATTGTTGTTTTCCTTTTGCGTGCCTTTGACTTTGCCAACCTCCAGGGATCAATTCCTCTCCGGCAGTGCTGGCAGGGCAAGGCACAGCCATTCCTAAAATCA